ACTTCAAATAGGAAAATAAGATTAGAGCAAAATCTTCCAGCTGCTGGACCACAGTTTGGAGTGACACTTTACATTTTTGGTGAAAGATTGAAAAAGTAGCTCTTTTTAGCTTCTACTGCTTTGGCTTTTATTTTGCATTGTTTACATTCAACGAGCAACTGGCAGCCACCTAATGACTTTTGTTTCCAAATATGTGCAGTGTCCAACACATGCTGGACTTTGTAGCCGGTATTTTTGGTTCCAATTGTTTCAACGAATAGCAATCATGGATCTGAAAGAAAAGGAATTGCTACGCCAGCCTGAACTAAATTGGTTTGAGTATCTGCCAGGTCCGGTAATTTTGGAAATGCAGCCACAGAGTCTCGCTCAGTGTCAACATGCAAAGCCACTTTGAGACAATCTATCAAGCCGCTTTCTAAGCAGTCAGATATGCCAGAATTCTTGCAGTCTTAAGCCTGTGTACAATGGAGCCAACGTGCTAAATATGTTCTGTCTCTACTTTGGAAAGCAGTATATCAGCGTGATAAAGCAGTGGGGTGATTTATTATTTTATTTTTTTGGTACTAATTCAGTTAGTCACCTGTGTTTATTTCCTGTTTATAGCAGCTGATATTATTGAGCACAAATCTGACATCTGGCACGAAAAGTGAGTTCCAAAGATCTTGAGATATATTTAAAAAGCTTTTGACTCTTTTTTTTATGGCTAGAGCAGGGCTTCCCAAACATAGGTCTACATCTTTTTTTGCACTGCAACTCCCACCATCCCTAGTGGTCAGTCCAAAAGCAGCTGGAGACTCAAGTTTGTCTAGAATGGTAAGATATGCAGACTCCCAGCCCAATCCCAACACATCAAGGTTCATTCTGTGAGTACATCATCATCATCATACCACAGATCCTCTAAAAGCTGATTAACAGGCCTGTCCACAGCTTGTCTGATGTTCGGGAGTTGGGGTGGGAGTCTTGTTAGAATGAAGGTACAAACTCAAACAAAAACCAGCCGGTCCTTGGCGGGGGGAGGGCAGGGGGCTGGCCAGTTTAGCCTTCTGAGGCCTGTGGCAAGTGTACCCAAACTTCCCTACCTCTGCACTGAGGCCTGGTTCCTCCCATGTTGGTAAGTTGTTGTCAGATATGGTTAATTCCATTGCAAATCTGCACTGGAGTCCCTGGTGATAACCTTTGTCACAAACAATCGCAAGCATTTAATAATGTGGCAGACCTAGCAAACACAAAAGCGTTTCCAGTTTTATAATGAAAGTTTTGTATTTTTGTGGGAAGATCTCACTTGAAGATTTCTGAAGCATATTACTTTTGTGATGGTTGATTGCACTCAACGTATGAAATCTTTTTCCCCCCCTTTTGTTACCCAGGCTTGTGAGCTTTATTATAAAGGGACAGAAAACATCTTAAGCAGAAAAAGATTACATGTGGCAGCCAATTGTTTTATTATTGTTTATTCAGAACTCTCCGCAGTTTTGGACAAAGTCATTGGGTTAAAAGGTTTAAAAAGTTAAATATACCGTCATCTCAGTTATCTTTAGGTTGATTTGTGTGCCAGAGTGAAGACTTGAGGCTGGTGCAGACATTTTGAGGGCTAGTTCCTTAACAAGAGTTAGCCTGGGCTGTGGCTTGGGCTGTGGGTTTCCTCCTATGCCCCAAATCTGAAATGCAACTACACTTTTAATGTTTTTAATGGTACTTACTCCCTGGTAAGTGGGTGCGGGGACGGTTGCTTAGGTTTTGGTTTAGAACTGGCATTGGGGAATACAAGGATCTTGTGTCTTTAACAGCTGTATCTTCACAATCAGGACCAGCTGGATATGAGTGTGAGTGGCAGCAATGACTGTACCCTCTCTACTTTTGTGTTATGCCATGCCTCCCATGGCTGTCATTTTGTGACTGTCACCTTTGGCGCTATGCAGACCCTCCAAGTGTCCCTATTTTCCAGGGACATCCCTAATTTAGAGAAGCTGCCCGGTTTCTGATTTGATCCTAGAATGTCCCACTTTTCTTTAGGATGTCCCTATTTTCATTGGAGGGTATGGAGTTATCCAACCCCCGAGCCGTCTGAAGGCAATCCTGTACAGGTAAGGTGTTTGGGGTTTTTTATATGTTTAATGTTTTATTATGTTTTTATATATGTTGAAAGCTGCCCGGAGTGTCTGGGGCAACCCAGTGAAATGTGTGGGGTATAAATAGCAAAATTATCATTATGGAATGGGACTTCCCTATTTTCAACAGAGAAATGTTGGACGGTATGCGCTATGTTAAAATCCAAAATGTGCCCCCTGGTCCAAAATGGGTGAAAACCCCTAATGTTTCAGATTGCAGCCTCAGTATGACAGATACTGAATGTTCCTACAGACACAAAGATATTGATCTTCAGAAGACTACAACATTTTTGCATATATATATATGTGCAAGGTTCATGCTTTGTAAAGTAAGGTCACCAATGCCCCTTTTTTCATGAACAAACTGAATACAGACAGTGATGTCTTGTAAATACTTAGTGTGATTGAGTGCGTCAGAAAGAATGAATGAAGGAAAGGAAGCTCTGATAAGAAATAATAGTTTTGTCAAAGAAGACAACAGTTTAAAAGAGCACTATCGGTTTTCTTTTCATAAAAGGTTTTCATTTAAAATGAATAACCACTGAGTGATAACCTACATAGAACCATGACAGCAGAAACTTATTAAATTGTGGCATCTTTTGGTACCATGGAAGAAAGGGGTAGAAAAGAAGTCAAATTTGCAAATAAGGAATCCAGTGAGTAATATCCAATTAAGTCATACATAAGAGTAAACCCATTGAAATCAATGGGCTCAAGTGTAGTCAATGGGTCTATAATATTCTGAGTATGAATAGCATTAAATATCACTCAGTATCTCTATATATTTCCTCTAAAATTCTCTGCTTCCAGGAAAACTGCTATCAGCAAGTATCTATGAAAAGATATGGCGCATCTTCACAAGTTTGTCATGCAATACGATTGGAGAGTGCATAAAGGACAAAGCAGTAACTGGCTGAGATGCATTGAACTTGTAATAGCCATGTAGAAGATGACTCACTAGAGACAGAGAATGGGATAAAGAGACTTACAGAAATCGTAATAATGAGCTGACACGTCAGCATGGGCAAGCTGCTTTCAACGGCTGAAGACTTATCACCAGCGTATATTGCCCCGTGAAAGAGAATCCTTTGCTTAAAAGAGGCGTAGGCAGAAAGTCAAATGTCTTCTGCCTGCCACCTTCCCTTTCCAGGAAATAGTAGGGGGAAAGCGAACAAAGTTTTAAAATGCTTACATTTGAATTTAGCATCACTTTAGCAGTTGCACTTATGACCGATGGATTTTCATGCGGAAGCTTACACATACATTCAAAATGGCCTTGTGAATGAATCACTGTTCAAAACAATTTGTCCATACTGCTGGCCTCAACCCTGCCTCTTATTTTACAGGCGCTTTATTGAGTGACTGAAGGAAACAATAGCTTGCAGTTTCCGTTTTTTGTCTGGGCCAGGTTCCACTGTCTGTTTGTTTACCTCTCAGAGTCAGCCTGATTGCCATGTAGAGAACTAAATTCCACAGTATGCCTCACACAGTCACCCTAGCACAGCTCAGGGCGGGGACCCAGCCACTCTCACTTTCTCTTGACCAAGTACTATGAAGTAGAGAGGGAAGGCAAATGTGCAATAGGAGTTTTTGGTTCCAGCAGAAAAGCACAAATGGAATGAGCAACTGATTAACCCTCTATCTGCTTTCTATCCCAATACAGAGTGGTCCCCAATGCAGCTTGCATGGAATAATAATAATGATTATAATTTTATTATTTATACCCTGCCCATCTTGCTGGGTTGCCCCAGCCACTCTATAAAATAATATTGTAGCCTTTTTAGCCTCAGGTGAGAAGAGCTTTGCGCGCAGGACGGGGAAATGGGAGTCAACAGACACTCAAGGAATAGTTTCAGAGAAAAAGCTTTATTCTGCCATCTGGGGTGGCAGAAGGCACCTGCGTGATAAATTCACAAAGCAAGTACAAGTTCACAGCCATCTGCACAGAGCATATATTCCCCTCCAGTTCCCTCCCCTTTCTCCCCCTCCTCAGGAGTCCTGCCCCATGATGAGTTTCCTGAGCATGAACAGAAAGCTCCTGTAACCTGTCCTCTCCTCCTTCAATATGATCCCTAACAATTGGGTTATTCCCAACACATGGCATTGCTTTGGTATGCCTCTCCTCCTCCCAGGACTGCCCAAGAGTAGAGAAGGAGCAGCCAGGAGCAGCAGATGGCTCTTCAGAGAGCTGCTGAGCTATGATGGTTGATCTTCCACAGCCTAGATGTGTGCTCCTTCTCATTCTCTTTCCCCTAGGAATGCCCAAGGGTAGAGGGGTTGAAGTCAGGTGCAGTTTGCTGGGCTTTAGTTCAAAGGCTGTATGATGGCTCAGATGGCTGAGATAATATGTGAACTCTGAAGCATTAAATGCATGTTAATCCTATTGCTACTCTATTTATGCTACTACAGAAACTACAGGTGTTGCTATGACGCACAAATGCTAGAAAAGTACAGAGTGCTGGTGGAATCCCTGGACACTGGTGCAAGGTTCAAAAGTAATGGAGCGTGATCTTGTTTAACCATGAATGCTCTGTAAAAAGAAGAAAGAGAGAGAGAGAGAACTCTTCTTCCAAAGGAGTGGAGGAAGAGCCCCTACATCAGTAAATCTCCTGCTCAAGCTACTATAATGTTAATGGGTCTATGTCAGGGATGGAATTTCATGAAGGGCTTATTCATTTTGTTTCACAAACTTTATTTACCAGTGGTTATTATTGTTTTTTAAAAAACCACACCTTTAAGCAGTTTACAAAAAATAAAGGCAAAACATGAAAAGGAGGTATATAAAAGGATTCATGAGATAAATTGAGATCAATAACAGAGAGATAAAACACATAGAACTTCTGCATATCTGAATATATATATATATATATATATATATATATATATATATATAGTCCAGCAGCACCTTAGAGACCAACTAAGTTTGTTCTTGGTATAAGCTTTCATGCACATGCACACTTCTTCCATGAAGGCTTATACCAAGAACAAACTTTGTTGGTCTCTAAAATGCTACTGGACAATATATATTTTGACTGCATCAGACGAACGTGGCTGCCTACCTGAATCTTCTACATATCTGGAAAGGCTTGCCTAAATAAAATATTTTCAGCTGTGAGTACAGTGTCTACCTGATGTCAATATGTAGGAATTCCATAGCATAGGTGGTGCCACACCAAAGGGTCAATTTCATACAAGTGTGGAATGATGTAATGCCTGTAGCAGTGCCGGCTCCACAAATCAAAATGGCCAAGCGGGCATATATGGGGTGAAGCGATTCCCAAAGGATGGGCTTGTCTAGGCAGATGGGAGCACCCCAAGTGCAGCAGCACAATGACAAAAGCAGCGGGGAAGGAAGGGATAGGCTTCTGTCTCGTTTCTCAGGCAAAAAAAGTCATAAATTAGCCACATCAGTAGAGGAATTGGCAGAAGCTTGAACTGTGTCTGCTAGGAGGATATTGCAAGGCCCTGGCCAATTCCATTAGTGTGTCCCTTTGATCAAAGCTAATGATTTACATCTAGATTTAAGGGGGAATGCTTCATTACTGCGTTTTTTCAGCTTGCTTGCAGGCACTTCCATAAGAGCCTCAAGTGCTTTTGAAGTGCTCAAGTTTCTTAAAGCTCGAAACACCTTGAGAAGTGACACACCGTCAAAATATTCAGTCACTAATTTGTGACAACAAGGGAAACGTCGTTTCACAGTGTAAAAATAGTACGCCTTTGACAAAATAAAGACAAATGGGTTCCTTGGTGCCAAAATGTGGATAAGAGTGAATCTGGAGGCTTCTTTTCCAACAGTGCAATATTTCTGGAAGTGGTAGTTAAGGGGAGGGAGAGGGAAAGAGAGACTCTAGAGATACTGTCAAACGTCCTCCCATACAATAGGAGAATTTCGAGGTCAGACCATCACAGAATAACAGAAACTGCAGTAACTGGAGACATTTAGATTCTAATAGCAATGAATGTGCTATCCAGGGAAAGAATAAAATATTGTGGCATTGTGTCCCTGCTGCAGAAGCACAACCTTGAGGGTAGATGTGGAGTACAAAATGTGCTCTGCAAATGAAAAGCAAGGGCGTATTTATATTGCACATATAGAGAGGACTGTGCATGGAAGTACCCTGATCTGGGAATGAGTTTCAAAGTCAACGAGTCTTCATATTGATCCCACAAATACTCCTAGCAGAAGAGCTTTTCCATCACCTGCTGCAAACAGAGTAGAGCAATGATTTTTAAATTTCTACCTTCTGAGACCTATTCAAATTGATTCTTCTAGTGAAGGAACAGGGCTGTAAGGGGTATGGAAGGAGAGGGCTCCTTCTAGGGTAGTCCGTCCACCTTTGGTCCCCACTCTGTACTCGGTCTCACCCATAGCTCCTAGAAACTGTCATGTGACAGCAGCCACACCCCATGAAATGGCTTCAACTGGCCAGTTAAACCAGGTTAGGGTAGCTGATCAATCTTAAACTAACGGTGAGATAGGGACTTGTTACTCCCTCCAGTGGATTGAGGGGATGAGACCAATAGTGGGCCCAACAGTTGGGAAGGTGGAAGATTGTGGACATCCCATGGCACGACAGAGTCTCGGACAAGGATGCACCCAAGTTCTCAGCATGCTTGCACTTCTGTCTCAGCGACATCTACACTGGCTTGGTCATGTACATAGAATGGAAGTTGACAGGATCCCCAAGGATATGCTTTATGGGGAGCTGGCTTCAGGCACCTGGCCTGTTGGCAGACCAACTCTGTGTTATAAAGATGTCTGCAAATGTGACATGAAGGCTGGCAACATTTACCCTGCTGTGTGGGAATTCCTTGTAGACAACCACAGAGCCTGAAGGCAGACAGGTTGTGCATCCACAGCAGTGACCAGAGGAGAAATGACCTCTGAGCTTTCCTGTGTTATCTTTTGAAACTATATCCATAGTGCAAGATAGCCAACATTAGGGGAATTATGGTACTGTGTTTCTGCCTTTGGTTCTGTTTCAGTTCTAAAAGCATGAACTCGTGAAATGATAATTTGTATTCCTTTTTCCTCTTCTCAAACCCGTGTGAAACTGTTCACAGTACAGGTGGTGACACTTTTGCAGGAAGGGGGTGGTTTCCATTCCCAGCTCCCGCATGTTACCAGTGTGTCTCGCTTGCATTCTGACTTTTTGCAGGTCCAAAAGGATCCATGCATGGTGGATCACATGTAAATCTGATGTGCCTAAATTTGTCACCGCCTGTACATATTTTATATTGTATATTTAGAATAGACTCTTTTAAAAAAATGTTGAGCTTTTGCACCAATATCCTTGACGTATGCTTGGCTTATGTTCTTTTCCAACTGTGTAGCTTTTAAAAAAAAAAAAAATCTATCACGGCATTTTCTCTTGCAACTCCAATATCAAAATTAAAAGCGGAGTTTCACAGTCTAGCATAGGCTAAGGTAAGCATTAAAGTGAGATTTGAAGTGAAGAAATATTGCAGAGAACAAAAGGCAGAGGAAAAGGTTTCAGATGAAAGATCTTATCCAGGACACTGTTCCCATGCAGAAGTCACACTGAAGTCAAAGGAGAGATATTCAGCTCTTTTTTAAGAGCAGGAGTAAAGCATGACCTCTCCGTTGAGCACAGAAGCAACAATAGGCCCTACATCTTGGGAACGCAAAGTATAGGTAACAGATGAGATCCACCATTCCATGTTGCAGTGCCATTACCGTCACTCCAACTGAAATTGTGATACTTTTAATTGTGTTTTATGAATTTTAATACGCTGCTTGAGTATCGGAAACCACTTTGGGGTCACAATGAGACAAAAGGCAGTCTGTGAGTGCAATAAATAAATTGCCGAAGGGCAGAGGAAGTAACGGGGTTAAGTGAAGAGTGCAATGAACAGCCCGGCTGTTTTTATAGCAGAAGGGGGAGGGGGCTTCCTTTATTAATAGCTAGCAAAGTAATAATAAACACAATCTAGCCAAAGACAAGCATGTTCAAGTCCCATTGATTCCAGGGAGAAAGGTAAGCTTGGGTTGTGTTTCCCCAATATCACAGACCCAGAAATAAGGAAACGTCTGCAAGGTGGCGAAGTCAAGGAAGCTCAAGGTTGGCAGTGGTGGAGACGCCACACCTGCAGGGCTGCATTAGACCTTGGCATTGCCTCACCACATCCCAGTCCTGGAAAGCACAGTGCAGCTGCCACCAGGAAGATGCCTCTGCACCCCCCCTCCCCTTCATGAGCCACTGATGCCTAGAAGCAAATACCTGAAAGCATTCGGACTTGAGATTCTGAGCTGCTGAATCCTCAGAAAACAAAAGAGGGATTGCTTCTGCCTCCCCAACCCCTGCCTTAAACATACAAGGTGCTTCTCTGCTTCAAAAAAAGAGGAGGTAAAGTGGTACCTCGGGTTAAGTACTTAATTCATTCCAGAGGTCCGTTCTTAACCTGAAACTGTTCTTAACCTGAAGCACCAGTTTAGCTAATGGGGCCTCCTGCTGCCGCCGCGCCGCTGGAGCACGATTTCTGTTCTCATCCTGAAGCAAAGTTCTTAACCTGAGGTACTATTTCTGGGTTAGCTGAGTCTGTAACCTGAAGCGTATGTAACCTGAGGTACCACTGTATATGGAGAGGTGACAGCATCTTGTCAAGCCTTTTTCTCCAAGTGCCAAATCTGAGCCCTGCCTCCTTTTGTTATCCAGCAGCCCTCGGTCCTTCAGAATGGGACATGACTTATCTTTTAACACCTTTAATGGGCCAGTGTCAACCCAGGCTGATTTGGTTTCCTGGTGTGCTTGTCTTCTGCTGCCTTCTTCAATTGAAGCCAGTGTTTCGAGATTAAAGGTGGCTCTCTTGGACACCACACAGACAGGATCCACACAATTTCAGAGAAAGCACCATCTTCTGAAACTGGTATTATTATTACAAACATAATTATCAATTCAGGTGAGGCTTCTGACAGCACATGGTGCCAGATCACAGCTGCTTAGCAGTAGGTGCTTGCTTTGGATACCCATCAGAATATTGTTTGCAGCACTGCAAAAAAGAGAATAAGGAAAAGCCACAACTTTCTATGCCACTACGGTATGTTTGGGAGGAGGGGGGTGAAATAATATTTTAGTAGTTTAGACAGGGGTGACTTTGGAAGAGAATATTGTGTGTCTTATGTTTTTGTGAACATAATTACTGGATTGCTTCTATTCCCCTCCCCACCCCCCAAAATACTGTTCTAATAGGTATACTAGTGCTGTTACAAGCACAGAAAATAAAAGAACAAGCCAAATACATAGAGAGGCGCCTTGTTAAAAGAAAATGTCAGGGTTTTCAGAGATGACTCCTGCTATCACCAATCAATATGTAACATGTTTATAAAAGCAATCAAGGGAATAGTTATATTGACAGGAAAATTAGATCTAGCATTAATAGAAACTGACAAGGGAGCTTAGCTTCTGAAGTATTAGATCAAATCATGAGGTCTTGTCTTGGAAAACATTTTCCTAATCTTTCAGAACCCAAGATATTGTAGCATTGCAGACTATGGTATGAGTCTAGAAGAAAATCTGGGACTTCTGTTTTGTTTTACATGGAAAGCCCCCAAAAGGTTACAGTGAAGAATTAGCAACAGAAAAGGAGAAAAAACAGCAGAAGTCCCTTCTTCCTTCATGGCACTTGGGTTGCTGCAGTATTCCAGCCACCAGGTAAGGGGGAATGTGCAGGTAAGTTGATGGGCAAGTCTCCAGTTTGGATTGACATATGAGCCAGAGGAGAAATCTGGGGATTGCAATAATCTCATATTGGAGGTAAGAAGTACAAATAGCTTAGGTTTGTATTCCAAACCAGGAAATTATGAGGTTCACCTACATCCCTGGGTGTCATGGATCTTCACATTTGGTTTGCTGGAACAGCCATGCAAGTGGGAACAGCTGTGGGATGTACAGTATATGAAGCAGCTGTAATAATAGATACAGTTTGCTGGTGCAGCTATAAGGTACAATCTCTTAACTCCGATTAAGAGAGATCAAGGGAGGACTGAGCACACCTCCT